TCCTCGAAACCATTTCATTTTTGAACATAACATTTGGAAATCCCTTGGTGAACTCCTTGTATTCTTGTCTGCACCTTTATTATGAGTTGTGTTGGTGCTGCTTTAACGACTTTGGAAGATCAAGTCGAAAATGCTACTCGATGTAATCCCTACCCAGGCTGTGCTACTCTGTAACTCAGTTGCGAAGTAATTTGTGGGCGTGATTGTACGGAATTTCTCTAAAGTCCACATCTTGTTTTGTGGAACATAACTTGAATGTTTAGTTTAAGCCGTCAGAAATCTACGGAATGACTTCACAGATTATAAAAGTCACGTCGATTACCCCCCTTGGTCTAGTTTGTTTGAATCCCATTTTTTAACAATATCGTTTAGGACAAACGTAAGTAAAATGTTGCATCGAAGTCTGTCGGCTCAAACACAGATATCTAGTTGTTCAGCGTGACTCGGTAATGCACAGCATAGAACATCACGCGTCTGTTACTCGATTGGTTTACTTCACTTTAAATTTAAGAAGTAAATTAAGCTATATGTAACGCATGGAAAAGGAACAAATAGCGTCAATGATGGTGATAACTAAAGTCCGATTAAGTATTACGAAATAGCTGGTGAAATAGGGTAACGAAGGTTGGAACATTGACATCAAGATGTAAAGAATTCTAGTATAGTCGTTTCTCTGACTACTTAAATTCATATCATCCAGTGTCGAGTTACTAATTACTCAGACTCCAAATAAAAGACGTGTCTCTAATTAGTGGGTCACAAGCTAGGTAAACATTTTATTCATATACGCCTGAGCTCTGTAGGTTTTTGGCGATCGCCTAATGGCAATGTCTTTTGATGCGGAACTAGGCAACCAAGTTCGAACTCCTCAGTGACCAGTCAACATACTTTTTGTTCTTGTTTATTTTAAAACAAACATTGGTACAACGAGGCACCAAACAGGTACGCTCTACATAAATTATTTGATTTGTGTGGGGGTTGTCATACTGCTCGTGTGCCCAAACATAGGCAGGCGATTTTCTTAGGGGACCACTCCCCTAAGTGGATCTTGAATCTCAGGGGCTGGTACTATGTCAAACCCGCATAGGTTATTCCAGCTTCCGAACAGACTAGTTTATTCATTCTTCCCAAGCCACATCTTTTCTTTGTCACTTATTCGCTTATTAACCCTGGTTGTCTTTATTTACGTGTGTGTTAATTACTTACTCTATTCACTGTGTCTGTAACTTATTTTTGCTTGATTATAAATATTGATTCACGGTTGATTAAATGGAGTTGGCCCTTTGCCTCCATCACTGCACGTTATCAAGTTTCATTTCGCTTCGTCTCACTGTCTGTTCAGATCAACGATTCGGCATCCGACAATGGTGGTCTTTCTTGACTTGAAAGCAGCATTTGACTCTTTAGACCGAGAGGTTCTGTAGCAGTGTCTGTCATTCAAAGGTGTACCTCAAAAGTACATAAACCTTGTGAAGGCTTTTTACTGGAACACTACTAGTCGAGTCAAAACTTATGGCGAACTGTCATCTGAGTTTTCAACCTCCGGCAAGGCTGTCAACTATCTTCATTTCGGTTCAACTTCATCATAGACAACGTTCTCGTCGATTTAATTTTCGGGCATCGATCTTGTATCAGGAGGTCCACTTATCGACTTAAAATACGCAGTTGACATAGTCCTGTTTGGTGAAGACGCTGATAAAATGCAGTCTTTTCGTAGCACTGAGCAACAATACCAGGATGCCTTTCTCCCCCTCTAGATGCAAGTTGTTGATTCAAGACTGGCTTGCGTCAACACCTAAACTAAGGATGGAAAGTGAAGTAGTCGAACGTGTCGACAAATTCATTTATCTTGGAAGTCTGATCAGCCCTAATGGGTTGGTGTCTGACGAAGTCTCAGTACGGATCCGAAAAGCTCGTTTGGCTTTCGCCCACTTACATCACCTATGGCAAAGGTGAGATATCCGCCTACCAATTAAGGGACGAGTATACTGCGCGGCAGTTCTTCCTGTCCTACAGCTACGAAACGTGCCCATTAAGAATATCTGATGCTTGTAAGCTACTAGTACTCGATCACAGATGTCTTATAAATATTGCTCACATCTGCTGGGATCACCGGGTAAGTAAAAGTGGGGTTAGACGCAGGGTATTCGGAAATGATGGTAAATCAGCTGATAGTGTTGTAAATCTTCATCGACTGAGATGGTTGAGCCACTTGTTACGTATACCCAAACACCATTTACTACCGGTGTTGGGGATAGTTGGAAGAAAGTTATAGGGAGCAGCCAAACCGAAGTGACACCAGTCCATAAAGTAACTAGCTTCTAGTCTGAGCCATGTTGGTAGATGCAGACTACTTGGTTGGGGCCCGCGTGACTACCGTAACCAATGGTTGGAGACTCTGGGTGACATGGCTCAGAATCGATCACAATGGCATCGGTGTATACACTCTTTGTCTTCCTTTTAACCGTGAGGTCATAGTTACTTAATGTTATTTTCCGCACTATATCCTTGTACACAATCTTTTATATATTACTACCATTGAAGTAACTGCTTCTATGAATGCGGTGTTCATCTTGTGCTAGTGGTGTGGAAACTTGGACCGATGCATACATATGCCTGGTCCTACTTTGTAGTTGACTGACTGACCATCGTAAGAAATATATATTATTATTATTATTAGCTTTATTCAATATTATATTTTTGGTACAATATAGAATTCTCAGCGCAAAGTATTTCAACAGGTTTCCGTTTTTTTCTTCCTGGTCGGTCCTGGCGATAAATATTGAGTGGTCGCCAGTTAGATGTTAACAGTTCAGTGAATAGATAACTTGTTGAAATATTTAGATGGCAGGAACAGGTAGCCTAGATGCTCAAGCAGGCCGCCTTACATGTGATTCAAAACCCAATCGCGTATTTGGCTTAGTTAAATCCGTTATTCAGTGACGCGATTTAGGTCGACGATTACATACGAGGGTAGTCAGGATGTATATTTCAATAATAATCGGCGTACGACTTAAATGGAGTCAGATAAGGGCCATCAAACCATATCCACCAACCCGGTTAAAGCGCCCGGACATTCGCGTCTAGTCCTCTCATTTTAGTAAACAACACACGCGCTGGAAGAAGGGAGTAGTTGTATACGCGTGGCCATGTGAGAACATTTTGAGAGGAAGATTTAACTCTCCCCAACCCTCGATCATACCAGGGCATCTGGAAGCATTATAAAGGCAGATATGTGAGAATCAACGCTTCGTAGAACAGCTAAGAATATAATGCTGATTTTATTACGGGTATTCCAAAAGCGTAATTTCTAGAAGTGCTTTTGTACAGAATATGGTTGACAGGTAATTCCCCTTCGATTGATATTAAAACTTGATGATACAGAAAAGATATTGGGAAAGAGTGAACTTCTAACCATTAGATTGTTTTTGGTTAGCATTAACATTTACAAAAAACAGGCTAATTCTACAATTTCTCACATTCGATATTAAGAAACAGTTGTGATATACATTGAAATAGTATTACTAGTCGGAATTTTGTATTGATTATGTTAAATGACAGCTTAACGTTCTTTAAATTAGCATGTATTCCCGTTCCTTAAACTTAAACATCTTTCTATCTTTTATTTTTCGATTTCATTCATTCTTTTTTAGGGTGAATTGTCTATTTAACTTCTTCACTATCATTTAAAATACTATTCTTTCAACTTCTTTCGAATCCCCATCCTATTGATTTTTCATTGTGTTGTAAGGTGATGACAACTTAATGCGACGAAATTCTTCTATAGAACCTACGTTGTTTTACAACTGGTTATAATTTAACATCATTTTATGGAATTGGTTTTTTAATGTAATCTAAGTGTCAAATATAGTTATATCAGTATAAATTCTGTAAATCGAATACTACTTCATTTCAAGATCTACTCAGACTGAAAACATTCTAAAGCAGATAATAATAGGAAAGGAATATCAACAACGTAGAACTTCGTACGTACGTACATCAGTTCGAGTTGCCACACCACATTAGCACAGAGATGCACTTGTCGATTCAAATCCCGTAGTGATAGAGGTAATAAGAGTATAAGCAGTAATCGGGAAGATTAGGGTTTGGAGATGTTATTTAAAGAGTATAATCCAGTGAAAGAAATTTGGAAAGAGGAAAAAAAGGGACATGAAGAATTCAGAAGATTAGAATCTGGGAGAACACAGAGAGTGGATGCACCTGCGCCATTGCAAACGATTTTGAGCCATGTCATTCAGGGTCTCTAACCATCGGTCGCTATCATCTCGCGGTCCCCAACCAGGTAGTCTACACCTACCAACATGACTCAGTCCACTTGTCAGTGACTTCATGGACTTGCGCCATGTTTTGGTTTGGCCGCCCCTAGCTTTCTTCCAAACTACTCCTATACCACTGAACATAGCACGTCGAGGCAGTCGGTCGTTGGGCATACGTAACACGTGTCCCAGCCATCTCAACTGATGAAGTTTCACTACGTCATCAATTGATTTGCCATCCTTACCTAGTACCCGTTTCCTAACAACTGTGTTACTTACTCGATGGTCCCATGATATACGAGCAATGTTTCGAAGACACCTATGATCAAATACTAGTAATCTACGGATATCCTCTACTCTTACCGGCCATGTTTCACTGCCATAAAGTAGGACGGAACGAACTGCTGCGCAGTAAACACGTCCTTTGGTTGATAGACGGATATCTCGCCTACGCCATAAATGACGCAAGTTGGCAAAAGCTAGTCGAGCCTTCTGTATCCGTGCTGAGATTTCGTCACATGTTCAAATTTTGTTGGTTAAAATGACTGATCGAAATAAATAATATTGTGATTAAACATATTTGAATATTATGTACATATATATAACATTTATTATCGCCTGGAGTCCCCTCCGTCCAGGGGCTACTGCCAGTCCCAAGCCCGGATAAAGGAGGAAGGCTGAGCATAGGGTTAGCGACCCCATCCCGTAGAAAAACGCCAACCAAAAAAATATTCAACATTTATTTATGGAAATGCATCTTGTTTATAAAATATCAACAATAAAACGTTTTGAAGGTAAACTTTTAAAACCAAAATGTTCACGTAATATGTGAAATGATTTGGACACTTCATTTCGTTTCACATATTCATTGACTGAGTTCAATGCTGCTGCCTAAAATAAATTTTAAAAAATATTAAACGTATATTCATGTAAATATATAACCATTTTAACAGACTAACTTCTTTAATCTTATAAGATTAAAGAGCAACCGAACCAAGATGTATTATTAAAAAACAAAAAACCATTAACTATTATAGATATCAATGTCAAGGTTGAACTTGATAAATAAATTGAACATTAGATAGAAAGTTAATAAATATATTTTTCAATAGTTGAGATCATGAATCAATTGAAGCTAGATCACCATGGAAAACCTGGAAGCACTGGACGGTCGTTTTGTCCTAATGTGAGACTTCAGTAGTACGCATCCATGATCCCAACTCGCGAGATTTGAACCCAGGATCTATCAGTCTCGCACACGAACGCTTAAACTCTAGACCCATGAGCCGGTCGGTATCCAATGGTGTGAATGTCTAACTTTAACTAATCCACGAAATTGATCGACACATCCACCATTGTTTTCAATGAGTTACCATCTCACGACAGACTCGGTTGAACTCCACTGATCACTGTTTCTCACTAGAACTCTAGGATATACCTCTTGAAGCCAGTAACTAGTGAGCATATGTTGACTAGTATCAGAAGGGATTCTGTGGAGATTGGAGTAATTTAAATAGTTGAGATCATAAGTCAAATGAAGATAGACCACTCACTGATGACAATGGTGGGTGTGTCACTCAATTTCGTGGATTCGTTGAAGCTAGACATTAACGCCGTTGGATGCCGGGTCATTGGTCTAGTGGTTAAGCGCTCGCGCGCGAGACTGATAGGTCCTGGGATCGAATCCCGCAATGCGGAATCGTGGATGCACTGCTGAGGAGTCCCGTAATACGACGAAACGACAGTAAAACAGTGCTTCCAGGTTTTCCATGGTGGCCTAGCTTCAACTGACTCATGATCTGAACGATTGAAATATATTTTTGTCACATCCCAATGGATAGGAAAATTATCCTGACGTTTCGTGACTTGATGTGAGCCGCTTTCTTCACAGTACCTGGGTTACACTAAATCACGAAGCGTCAGAATAATTTTTCTACTCATTGGGATATAACAAAAACATATATTCATCATTAACTTTTAGTCTGAGGTGTGTTACTAGGCCTAGACTACCTGGTTGAAGTACGTGCAATAATCGTGATCAATAATTGGAGATCATTATTAATATAGCTCATAATCGGCTGTAATGGCACAAATGTATTTATTCTTTATCTTTCCCTCTTAGATCCTGAATTTCGATAGTTTTTATTAAGTGAATCTATCCTCTTCGAACTTTATTCTCCAATGTTTAGCGTTTTCGAATATCGGTAATGCTGTTATTTTTTCGACTCGTTAACCATTCATCTCGTTGTGCTGATATATGTACCGGTTTAAACTGATGCTCATTTGTTCATGGCTCTACGTTCATTACAACTGACTGACTTTCTACCTACAAACTTACTGTATTAAGCAAGTCAAAATTAGGTTTTTCAGTCAAAGACTCAAAAAGAAAATTGCTTCCTTAGGTATCGGGGTTGTTTAGGGCAGCACCAGAATTTTCACACTATCCATGACGACAGGTTTGGGGTTAAGTAGGTCTAAAAATTATGTCAAAGATAGTTGTCTCGCAAATTTAGTGTGATTTATGACCCAGTGCATAAACACCTGCATGAAGACAACTCCCTTAGTAGTCATCGAGAATTTACTACAGTTTAATATAAATAACATGACAATGAAGGAAGTCATGTTATTAGGTTTCACAGACATATTTAAGAACAAGAGGCCATTAACTTAAATAATGAAACTACTCCACAGCATAAAAATAGACAGCACAGTAGTCAGTGGGTATTAGCACAACACCCTATACAATCTATATTATTTATTATTTTAACACATAGATATCGGTACAAGGAGGCACCATATACATATGCGCCACACAAATCTCATTCGATATGTGTGAGGGCTGTGATACTGCCCGGGTGCCCAAACCGAAGGTGGTTTTCTTAGGGGGTTACTCCCCGAGCCTTCGACAAGGCAGTGGAGCAACATCAAGAGATGCAGTCCCATGGTAGCCGGTGACCAACGATTGGTTTATACGCCATTTGTTCCCGCAGGATACTGGAGCCCATGTGCATCATTGGTTTGGAATCCGGTTAAAGCGCCGGACATTCGCTTTTCGTCCTCTCATTTTCTTAAACAACACCCCCGCCACGAGAAGGCAGTGGGTAGAACTTCCCTGGCAGAGGCTATATACGCGTGACCATGTGAGAGCATTTCGAGAGGGAGGGCGGACTCTCCCCACTCTCGGCCGTACCAGAGAATATTGTTAAGAACGAATACCTACAAACGATGTTTCTATACTGACATTAGTCGCTTTAAACACTACTAATGAGTTACAATAAACCTTTTGGCAAAATAAAAAATGATTCGTGGGTTAGTCTTGTGATTTTTGTGTATATCTCTACGAAGTGAATTTTTCATACTGCAAAAATCATCACGTTGTATTGAATCAATGTTAATAATGATCAAAAATCGAATCATTAAAGTACGAGAGTAAATCTTGATGGGATTAATCTTAATAATCCACGATAAACGATTTCTTGTTAGAGTGTAGTTAAAGCACTTGGATTTGAACTACTAAATTGCAGATATGAACTATGCTTCAGTTAATTATGCTTGGGTGGCTAGCTGGATAACGTTCTTAGTACTCACTTTTCATATAAAAGCAATATAAGTAAATACCAAGTACATAACACCTACACTTGGTAGATAAGAGTCATATTAAATGAGAAATTAATTTTGACAAAATATCCCCATAATTTAATTAAACATACCGTTAATACTAGAATATCAAGTATACGTTTTCTATCGTCCAATTGTCGATAATAGTTGAGCGCTTTTAAGAGTTCTGACATATGCATTTGAATGACTACAAGTGGAAAAAAGAAAATAATTATGTCCAAGTTAGTAGATCGATTCAAGTGATAGAGAGAGAGAGAGGTGTGTGGGCGGTGACTAACAACACATGGTTACTCACACTTCAGGAAGAGATTTCTTAACAAAGGATCAGATAGAAGGAAATCGATTTAGTAATGATGCTCTTGTGAACCTGAGAGGATCACCACAAAGATCTAGAGACAATTGTTTTAGAGCGGTTACATATAATTGGTTTTCATTATGTTAGCCTAAAATTTCTACCATTCGGATTAGGAGACCGTGGTGCATGGGAGGTGTTACTATCTTTAGCACCAATCTCTTTCAACTCTTGTCAGTCTGCGGGAAGGCAGGATTACTGAAAATGCTGGGTATCTGCGTGGAACATTTTAGTGCAAGTAAAGTTAATAGTGAGATCTTCACTTGGACTTTAAATTTAATGCCTTTATTTTTACCGCTATCCAACCGACGTGACTGGCATGGTGAAAGCACGAAAGACAAGTATTGTAAACTGTATAACTCTATCGGCCTGGTGCGCTAAGGTAACAGCTACGGTCAGTGAATGAATACACAGGCACTGTGTTATTGGTGAAAGTTTGTACATGTGTCAGTTTTTATATTACGTGAAATGTATTCGTATGTGGTCACAGTGTTTTACAATCTTCGAACAGTGATTCACAGCCACTAGAGTACGTTTTAGACAGACTCGGGAATTGTTATTTCCTTGATTTGTAGCACGTATATTATCATTTGAATGAAGACTTCACAATACGTTTTCTATTCAACCGATTGTGTATGTTAGGTATCGAAAGTAAAAAGTGTGATGAAGTTTGTTAGTCGTATGTCATAGGTACTTTAATGAAGTTTTAGTAAATTGAATGGTTGCAACAAGTACTCTGTCATGCAGATATCTGTACCGTATTAACTTAAACTGAAGTGTTATACACGGATGGGCTAATGGGCAAGTACTCTTTTCAGTTAGGCCTATTGCATTTGTTTAATGGCTACGAGTCTAGTCGTATTAGAGGCTAGAGTTGAAGCATAATGAAAAACATATATAATTCGATTGAGGATATAGCATGACTTAATGAGTTCACACACTACAACAACTGTATTACGGACTGCAACTCGGTTCGCTGATATCAATAGGTTGATAAAATCTACGTTTCACTTAACTCAATGATAGGAGGCTGAAGCCAGGAAGACCTAGATTTTGTGTCAGTTAATACTAGTCAGCAGCCCATTGTGTTCACAATCTTGAAGGGATCGATGCTCCCTGTTGGATACTAACTCGAATTATCCAGGATCACTGTACTATCCAGGATTCCACTGATCTTTAAGACCAAATTACCTACACTAACTGATCCCTAAGTTGTTTATCTAGCCCTTGAATCAATAAAATTCAACTGATATTAAAAACTAGGCAACGCTGATACTAATTATTACTCAGTCTAAAATGACCTATTAATGTTAGGAATTCCTTACTATCTGCCACTGACATCAAATCTAAATTGTAAACATTGTAAATGAGAAGAATATTATTATCATCATTGTGTCGAATAACTTTTCTATAGTTTATTTTATTTATTTAAACACATAAACATTGGTACAAGGAGGCACCGAATAGATGTGCACCACATAAATTATTCGATTTCTGTGAGGGTTGGGATACTACCCGGCTGCCAAAACCGAAGCAGGTGGTTTTCTGAGAGGGCGACATCCGGAATCTTCAACCTAAAGGTCTAATGCACAAGGCAGTGGAGCAACACCAAGAGACGCAGTCTCATGATAGCCGTGTGGTGTGTGCTACTTATACTGGCATAAGTAGTATATGATGTTAGTCGTGAACAGAAGATCTGGCAGCAGGGAGAGAAGAGGGTCGATTAGTAAAGAATGGAAACAGGGTTCAATTTTTATGAAAATCCAAGAACAATGAAGTCTGAGTGATTTTGAGACAATTGATAGACATTTTGCAAATTAAGCATTTACTTTATGATTGTTAGATTTTATTAACAAGTCCTATAATTAGTGTTAAATACATCCGATTGTCCCCATTGGTGTTCGTTCACTACAGCCAGTGACCAACGGTTGATTCATACACCATTTGTTCCTTCAGCATCCTGGAGCCCATGTACACCATAGGTTTGAAACCAGGTTTTTCCAACTTCTCTGGGTAGATCCTCCGTATCCAACAAACCGTCTAAAGCGTCGGATATTCGCTTTTCGTCTTCCCAATTTCGTAAAAACAGTAATGCTGCGAGAAAGCAGTGAGCAGGACTTCCATGGCAGTGGCCATTTGACAGCATTTCGAGAGTGAGAGCTGACTTTCCCCACTCTCAGCCATGTATCAAGGCATTTAGTTTACATAAAACAAATAACACAATTAACAAATGTACATATCTATATATATAGATTTACTTACATGAATGATTATTCTCATTGATATCAATTAATAGTCGTGTACGACTCAAAAATACTTGACAACGATATTTTGTTAATTGATCTGTACGATGTAATATCTCTTCTAAACTATTATTCAATTCAAATATGACATTGGAATTTGTTTGTTTCAATCCATTAATCCATAAAGAGGTTGGATCAACATCGATATGATCAATTTTAGTCTTCTTGTTATCATGAAGATCATTAGTAGGATTAGTATTCATTAGCATATTGTTATTCATGGATAAATGAATAGCACATTGTAATAATTTAATCATTTCAATACCTAAACTTAATCGATAATGTTGACATAATTTCAATGTGATATCAATCTCGTTGAAAGCATATACATAAAGCTTCAATGTAATCAACAATTCAATCTGGTCAAATGTAAGAGATTGTGATATAAAAGAGAAAGAAATAGTGTTTATTATTATTATAAAACATTAAAAAGACTAACTAACTGACTAAAAGAAATTGTAGTAACTATGATAATGCTCAAATTTTATTGAATATTATTAGACTCCAGTATTGACAGGTGTTTATATCTATCGAAGCGTCCAAGTCACCCGATTGAGATATGCGCACGAAACCGAAGTTTCCAAAACAACGATTTGTCTACAATAGCAATTCTTTATTGAATAATACACAAAATTTAGTTACAAATCTCAACTTGTGAGGTGTCTGGGGCGTTTAAACGAGTCCTTCAAGTATGAAAATAAAAACGCTCCGTGTAACAGTAACATAAAGAATAATTACAACATACGATAGTACAAAGGACAGCTCATAGCTATGTCTAAATTTGTTAACACTTTATGAACAATTGAAACTCGAACCAAGAGCAAAACAATATGGAAATTGTTGCGTTTAAACAAACGCACAAAACTGTGGATAACCGCTACAGTGATTATAATGATAAGTACAATAAATGTTATAAGTATATGTGAACAATTCAGAATATTAAACTCCAACTTGCGTTACAACACAACTGTAAGAATTGTTGGGAATACAACTGCTTACTGAATGTAGATAAATAGTATAAAACAATATACAAAGGAGTGAAAAAGGAGCGAGTAGGAACAATGTAAGACAAACTTAACAACAGGATTAATTGTTATATTTTAGCTATAAGTAAAGTAAGGGCCACATTACTACAATTGAAGAATATATGGAACTCAAAACAACTGTTTATCAACCAATATCAAAGTCAGAAATCTTCAGTACGAACATCAAGATAGTTCTACTGTATGGAGCTGAAATGTGGAGAACTACTACAACCATCATCAAGAAGATACGAGTATTTATAATAAATTGTCTACGCAAGATACTCAACATTCATTGACCAGATACCGTCAGCAACAGACTTCTGTGGGAGAGAACAAACTAACTTTCAGATGAAGAAAAAATTAGGAAAAAACGATGGAAATGGATAGAACATACATTACGCAAATCATTAAACTGCATTACGAGGCAAGCGCTAACTTGGAATCCTGAAGGGAAGCTGTTAGGATAGTCGGAAAAATATACCAATAATTATCGTGTTAAGTCTATGGTGGCCTTGGACCTTAAATGTACATTTCCTATTGGTCGATGTTTACTTCACTTGTTAAATATTTTGTAAATGTTGTTTCCTATTTTATGGTACGATGTGGTATGCTTGATTGGTATATAAACAAAGTATGTTTGGAATATAATGATTCATAACTCAGAGGCTGTGACTTGTGTTCTTGACTCAACTGGCTAGGACAGACAGCGAAGCAGGGCCAATCAGGGCACTAGGTCGTCCTTACGTGTTTACTGTCCACTGTCACAGAAGCGATCGATAAATACGCTGCTTATAAAAACCTGCAGTCACACGTTACAACAGAAGCAGAAAAGAGGAAGGCCAAAGAACACATTACGTCGAGAAATAGAAGTAGATCTGAAAAGGATGAATAACAACTGGAAAAGATTGCCCAGGATAGGGTTGGATGGCGAGTGCTGGTGGGCGGCCTATGCTTCTCCACGAGGAGTAACAGGCGTAAGTTATAAGCAACATAGAACCTGGTACATATACGAAACAGTTTAAGTGATCACATCGCTGTCATATTTACAGAGAATGAAGTACTTTCATATTCCTTTTGTAAAGTTTCTCTACAACAACATAAAAAAATATAAATTATTGAGTTAAGACCCAACCCATCTAGAAAGCATCGTGCTGGCTATGAGGAATGCAAGTTCTGGGTTCGACTTCACTCCATGGATCATGAAGTCAACTGTGCGAATTAAAAAAAGTTTCAAACTAGTATATAGGACAGCTACCCAGTTAACGTCAGTCAATAATGGAAATCATTAACTGGATACAGACTCGTGTATTTTGAACTCTGAACCACACTTTTATGTGTATGTAAAAGGTGATGATATTACATCCTACTGTTCAAATTGATCTAGGTGGAAACTCAATGTTTGGACGATAGACATTTAATAACTGAAGTATAAAATGTTCGATATGTAGAGAATAGCAAAGAGCTTAGGTAATAGAACTTCATAGGAATTAGACAGTAATATGAGAATTTACAATACATATGTTTCGTATCAAATATTACAACAATCGATTTCCGCTGTCTTGAAAGTTGATAGGAGATAAGAAGTGAATTCTTTCCAAATTGTTGAGTACTATGCTATATAGAAAGTGAGTTATATCAGATGTATGGAGTTTATTGTACTCTCTGACTAGCCAGTCTACTTTCTGGTTGATTGGTCGTATGTACCACGAAGTAACTGAACAGCCTTTTAGTGACTCTAGTTTGGTCGTATGAATGATTGTTATTGAAATAAACACATCGCCAATCCTCGTATATAATTATCAACTTAAATCGCGTTAGTGAATAACAGCACTAAACAACTCAAATACGACAATGATGTCCGAATACGTTTATTTCGTAAAATCATTGATCTGAACAGAAAATCAGAGAATCACAACGAATGAAGAAAAGCGAAATGAAATGACGCGCGATGGAGAAGGAAGATGAGCCAACTCCATTTAACCAAGCGTGAATCAATATTTATAGTCGAACAGAAATAAGTTACAGACATGTGACGAATAAGATAAGAAACGCACACGTATAAGCTTAAGTAAAAAAACAGTGAAGGTTGATAAGCGAATAACTGACAAAGTCAAAAAATGTGACCCAAGAAGAATGAATAGATTGACCTGTCCGGGCTAGCATAGTACTACAGACTTATACAAATATTTCGAAAGGATATGAGATACAACCACTGCAAGGGAAGTCCTACCCACTACCTTCACGTGGCCGCAGTGTTGTTTACGAAACTGAGAGGACGAAAAGCGAATATCCAGCGCTTTACATGATTTGGTGGAAACGGAGAGTCCACCTATGGAAGTTGGAAAACCCTCATTCCAAACCAATGGTGCACTTGATCTCCAGTATCCTGAGGGAACAAATTGTTGGTCACCGGCTACCATGGGACTGCATCTCCTAACGTTGCTCCGTTGCCTCTCGGATCAGACATTTAGGTTGAAGCCTGGGGGTGTGGTCCCCTAAGAAAACCACTTGCTTAGGTTTAAGCACCCGGGCAGTATCCCATCCCTCGCACAAATCGAATGATTTATGTGGCGCATATCTATTTGGTAACTCCTTGTAGTAATGTTTGTATCTAAATAATTAAAGTATATTGTCACAAATGAGAAAAAACGTGATTTGCCTTAAATGTTGTGACTTGAGTTCGTGTATTGTATAAAAATATGTACTTACTAAAGCCAAATGTGCACGTAACTCAATCAATGCTAATTTACATAATCCACCAACAGGTGTATGCTCAGGAAATGTAGGCAATATTATATGGGAAAATGGTTTTGTTTGACTCCATAATTCATTTGAATGTAATAACTTATTATTATTATTTGCCGATTGTTGTAATAGTCCACAGTCATGATCACGTCTTGCAATGACACTATCAATAATATAACGTAGAATATCATGTGTATAAGATACATTGCCACGTTTTTGTTCAACTTCAGCTTGCCTATTTAGGTTGAAATGAGAAAATACAATTGTAAACTAACATTTCATGATACAATATCTCTATGAAAGCTTATTTTATTTGTAAAAACAAACTGGCTACGGGTGTGATTTCATAAACCTATATATGCACATATATAAACTATGTAATTAGTCAATCAAAGGCTGGATAAAACTAATGGCATCAATGTTGTATCCATTCTAATTTTTATACTGTTGGGATATTCATAAAAATATCCCAAAAAAGATTCTGTTAAGTCTAATGCTATCCTTGAACGTGAAATGGTGTCACTTTCCTATTGGTCAATATTCACGGTAGTCCTAACTGTATAAATATGCATTTGTCTGTCAAGCATCACTCCTATTCCTATTCTTATTCTTCTATTGATCCCATAAACAATTTTCATTTACGGTTCGTGTTCTGATATATTGGAGATTGGGGTCGTACTGGGATATCTGAATTTGGTCAGTTGGTAGAAATTAGAGTAGCCACCCGCGGTCCACAATATATACTTTACTAGAATTAGCAAACTGAAACAGAAAATGAATAAAATCTTGAAAAGTAAAGAAGAAGGAATAATACAAACTACAGTGGAAATCGGAAGGCTCTCCCGGTGTCCCACATTGTACGAACATTCCATGTACCTAAATAAATGGTTGCTCTAGTTGTAAGAAGGGGCATCGGCCTCGTAATTTCCGAAGGAATTCGGCTTTCATCATGAGGCGTCATAGTTCTTCTAAATGAAGACCTTCTGACTCCCGGGGCAGAGTTTATAAGGTTTGAATGATTTTTTCTGGTTAGCGTTTTTTTAGCAAGTTAGTTTTCTACGGGATGGGGACGCTAATCCCATGCCCAACCCTCCCCCTTTATCCGGGCCTGGGACTGGCAGTAGCCCCCGAAGGGACTCCAGGCGGAGTGGAAAACTAAACATAAATAGTATATTTCAAAAGGAACAAGTGAAAAGAGTTAAGAATGATATATAGCTAGAAAAATTTAGAGGACAACACAAAGAATGAGTAGAAACATGCGATTGTACAAATGATAATTTAGTGTCATGTTAACTACTATTTTTAAGCATAAATTAAAGTTGTTTACGTGTGTCCTCTAATTTAGAAATCTATTTATTTTAACACAATTTATACAAGTAGACTATGAATTCATGTATAACATCATCACATCACTGAAGATACCGAATCGATCTCGGTGAAGAGTACTCTATTAATTAAATTTTTAACTGAGTCGAAATGATAGAAAGTGATTGTCTAAGATAAAATATAACAAGAATACGATACATAGACAATAATTAAATGAACCTAATATGTCTATCATTTGATAGAGTAATCTTTATACTCCTAAAAATTAAGCTTCGATAAAATAAACTTATGAATGATCAATACCAGTTTACAGTAATGACATACTATTGATCGACTCTTGGTAATTTCCAGTCAGTCAGTCAGCTACAACGTAGGACCACGCACATATATGCATCAGTCCAAGTTGCCATACCGAATTAGCACAACAAGATGAACACTGGATTCATATACGTAGTTACTTCAATGGGGGCAATATACAAAAGAAAGATGGCATATAAAGATATAGTACAGGAAGAAAGAATTAGTTAGTAGAAAGAAAGATATGAAGTGATTTTAATCTCTTAGTTTAAGGGAGGAGAGGGAGTGTATAAACCGACGCCATTGTGACCGATTCTGAGCCATGTCACACAGAGTTTCCAACCATTGGTTACGGTAGTCACACGGACCCCAACCAAGTAGTCTGCATTTCCCAACACGTCTCAGACTAGAAGTAAGTGTCTTCAAGCACTGGTGCCACGTTTTGGTTTGGTCGCCCCTAACTTTCTTCCAACCATCCCCAACACCGGTAACTTTAAATGATTTTAAGAAAGTAAAGCCAATTTTCAGTCAATCAAAATGAAAGTGATATAAATAAATAGTTTATTAAATAAAACTGGAGAAGGCTTGTGATTAAAATCTGGATTTTGGAAGTTAGGTCGAGTTAGGAATAATGGTTAGAAAATGAATGAATGAAAGTTTTGTAAGTAATATATGAAAAGGTTATACAGTTAGTTGATTGATTTTATCTATTAGAAATTACTAAGTTGTCTTTGAAAATCCATAGATTATAGTCCTGTTTTCTTTAGTCTTCCTATGTTTATCAATTTTAAGAGCTTCGATAAGTGAATATCAGTTCTAGTGAGAAGCCGTGACCAGTGGAGCTAATCCGTGTCGGGTAGAGACAGGTATCTACCTCATTAAAATGGAAGATAGTCACTCAATTTCGTGGATTGGTTGAGGCTAGACGTTAACACCATTGGATGGCGGCCGGCTCAGTGGTCCAATAGGTTGAGCGTTCGCGAGCGAGACTGAAGGCCCTGAGTTCGAATCCCGCGAGCAGGATCGTGGATGCGCACAACCCCTATACCGCTAAATATCAGTAAGTTTTACTTACTTTTTAATCAAAAATGTAGCATCCGCTATCGTAGTAGTAAAATAATTATATTTTTTCGATCACATCTAACGTTGATATTGATACCTACATCCTCTATTGTATTTTCAATTTTGTGCAAACATTTGGTATTCTCTACCTTAAATTTGATTGGTTGGTTAGTAAATTATACTTTCATAATTTCTTTGGTTAGTCAACCACGTATTCTAACGAATAACCGAGCCCTCAGTAAATTTCAATTCATACTACGGCGTTAGTGTTTGTGATTCTCTTATTAGTTACTTCCTCTTTTGGACAGTCATTTTAATATAGATACCTAAGATCATGGTTTTCACTATATAAACAGACCTGCTATATCATATTCTTGACTTCGTTTAGGAATATTAAAGGTCCCCTGAAAGTTCCAACTTCTTACTCTTTATCGTATATGAATCATAAATGTGGAAATATTAGTTATCCAATCCGTATAGTTGGTCTAAATCTTGTTTTGTATAATAGGAATCTCCCAATAGTTTGTAAGTTGGAGTGATCAAATAATTGTCAAACTATAACAACAATAAACAACCAAGCTCTAGTTTCCCAAAAATTCGTTTAAACCATATGTGTTATTCTGCATAAATATTTGTTTTGGTGGAAGTTAGTTGGGTATTTTTTTGCCGATAGACTGACATAAGCTGGAGAACTACCATTGAAAACTCATCGAAGTGCTGAATAGCTCTATTTTGTACTGATTTGGAACTCATTAGACAAATGAAAAAAAACTGTAGAGCGTTTTTTTTTTATTATTTTTTCAGTGGTATTTGTCTAGTTGGTATCAGTTTTTGTGACAAGAATTAACTACAATCAATCAACGATAAACTTACCTTATAGCAGCTTCCCATGGACAATAAAGTTTTATTGAATTAACCAAACGATCGCATTGAGCTAAATCATAACCAGATCTTAGATGTTGCTCCAGTTCAACTTCCATGCTAGCTTGTAGCAAAGGTGATTGGTTTGGAAAACGACACAATATAGATCGACATATTTTAGATAATTTTAATGCTGTCTCAATTGATCCCTTTGAAGAGAGAAAGAGAGAGACAGGTCAAGTTCTCACAAAAGTTAGAAATACCTCTTAAATGGGAAATAATTTTTACCTTACAAACTGATAAGGATGCAAAATCTCCATGTAAATCATTTTGTTACTTTTATTCCCGTAAATTTGAATTTCTGTGTTTTTCGTGCCTAACTTCTGTTCTTGATCTGATGTATCTACACTTTATATAGATGATATTGCTAAGAGTAGAGCTGGGTTTAATGATGATTGTGAACCAACCTGTTACTATTAAAATATTCAATACTAAAATATAGTTTACTACTCAGTTTAGTATTTGAATTCAATTACAGTAAGCCTTTGGTAACCAATTTATGTACTTTTTATACAAATACAAAGATTGAATATTATACCATTAATAAAGGAAAATGTATGAGTGGTATCCGTAAAACTTAACATCAGTCCTTGAATTAATAATTAAAATCAAAGAGCGCTAGATAGTCATTTTGTCCTATTTCATTATTTATTTGAACATATAAATATTGATACAAAGGGGAACCGAATACAAGTACGCCACACAAGTCACTTGGCTTGCATGTGGGCTGTGATACTACAAACCGAGTGCTCAGACAGCAGCAGGTGGTTTTCTTAGGCGGACACAACCGGAGCCTTTCACCTAAAGGTCTAACCCACAAGGCAGTGGAGCAACATCAGGAGACGAAGTCCCATGGAAGCCGGTGACCAATAATTGGTTCATACGCCATTCGTTCTTTCAGGATCCTAGAGCATATATACACTATTGGGTTGGAATAAGGGTTTTCCAACTCTCATAGGTGGACTCTCCGTGTCCACCAACCCAGTTAAAGTGCCGGATATTCGCTTTTTGTTCTTTCAATTTCGTAAACAACACCTCTGCCAGGAGAAGGCAGTGAGTAGGACTTCCCTGGTAGTGGTTGTATGTACGTGGTCATGTGAGAGCATTCGGAGAGGGATAGCTGACTCTATCCACTATCGTCTGTACCAGGGTATTTGGGGATTATTTCATAGGAAATCTATGAGTAATGTAAACTATCCCATAGTGACCTTTCAAGTTTTGTGGAGAAGACTAATTAAAAGTGGAAAAATCACAGCCAAGCAATTAGATCAAATGTGACTATAACATAATATGTGAAAAAAAAAGACGAACAAACTTACCATAGAATTAAACTCTTTTATAATGTTTGCAAAAGCATTAGCTAATACAGTATCGGAATAAGGACATGGCTCTAAACAATCTGCATTAATTATACACTGCATCAATACAGTGGCCATATTTCTGTTGATTCATTTTATGCATTAGACAAAGAAAAAAAAGTAAATATGTTATGTCATCAAAAGAACTTGGTCGGTGAAAGATGAAATTGATAAAAAAAAATACGATACTCATGAAGAAGATGCTTAATGGTTCAAGATCCTGAGTGGAGAGTCATGGGGGTGAAAACACTACTGACGAACTTGAAACTAAAACTGAATAAACTCTATCATGCTTTATAGTTTTTCAAGTGATCTCAGTTCATAATGAATAATAACCTTATGACTAACTAACCAACGACATTAGATAACAGTTGCACAATATTGAGAATTGATTAAAAAAAAGTTAGAAATGTAAGCCATTAGACGCCAACTAAGTGGCCTAAAGGGTTAAGCGCTCGTTGGCAACTGTTGTGTGATCATGGAACTGTATCACTAAAGAGTCTCGTACCTAGGCGAAAAAGCAATCCAATACCTCTTGGTTTCTAATCATTATCCAACTAAAGTCAATATGTGATGTAAACTACAAAATTCACCAAAACTCCACTGACCATCTACATTAATAGAAAAGTAACATTTTAAAATTAATTAACGGGTTAATGAACAAATAGAAATTTATCATTCTTACGGATAACCATAAAATTGCCACATTGTAGCTAAATCCAATTGACAAACAGTAAAATATGCTTGAGATATAGTATTAACTGAATTGAAGTAAACAGTTAATAGTCTACAAAAAAAATAGAAAAGAATAAATTTAAAAGTTAATAGAATTGTTTATGTCAATCAGCAACAATGTAGAACTTCGTACGTATGTATGTACATCAGTTAGAGTTGCCATACCACATTAGCACATAGATACAATTGTCAATTCAAATCCCGTAGTGGTAGAGGTAATAAAAGTAGTATAAGCAGTAATCGGAAACATTAGGGTTTAAAAATGTTATTCAAGGAGTATAATCCAGTGAGAGAAATTTGGAAAGAGGGAAAAAAGAAAGGGACATGAAGAATGTGCAAGATTAGAATTTGGGAGAACACAAAGAGTGGATGCACCTGGACCATTGCAAACGATTTTCGGCCATGTCATTCAAGGTCTCTAACCATCGGTTGCTTTCATCTCGCGGTCTCCAACCAGTTAGTCTACACCTACCAACATGACTCAGTCCATTTGTCAGTGACTTCATGAACTTGTGCCATGTTTTTGGTCTGGCCGCCGCCCCTAGCTTTCTTCCAACCTACTCCTATACCACTGAACATAGCACATCGAGGCAGTCGGTGGTTGGGCATACGTAACACGTGTCCCAGCCATCTCAACTGATGAAGTTCCACTACTTCACCAATTGATTTGTCATCCTTATCTAGTACCCGTTTCCTAACAACTGCGTTACTTACTCGATGGTCCCAGGATATACGAGCAATGCCTCGAAAACACCTATGATCGAATACTAGTAACCTACGAATATCCTCTACTCTTATCGGTCATGTTTCACTGCCATAAAAAGTAGGACAGGACGGAGTGCTGCGTAGTAAACCCGTCCTTTTGTTGGTAGATGGATATCTCGCCTACGCCATGAATGACGCAATTTGGCAAAAGCTAGTCGAGCTTTGTGTATCTGTGCTGAGATTTCGTCACACACCAGACCACAAGGGCTGACGAGACTCCCAAGATAAGTGGAACGGTAGGATTATTATTTATTTATTTATTATATGAACACAAATATTGGTACAAGAGGGCACCAAATATATATGCCCTACACAAAACAACGAGAATTCGAAGAGAAAAAAGAAGGTAAGGAGCATAAAAGAAAAAAGAACAATAATAGTAGTAGCAATAATGAGGGAAACGGAAAGGTACAATCAGAACAAATCTTTCAGTTAAGGAAGATACAACAACTTTTTTATGAAGAAAGCAAAAGAAGGTTACAGCAGGATCGCCACTGACTTCTATTCTGAGCCATATCTGATAACGTCTCTAGCCACTGTGTAGCACCATCTCTCGGACCCCAACCAGGGAGTCGTGAAGGACCAACACAAGCCAGTCCTTTGCAGCTTTCTTTCATACCACGACACCATGTCATACATTGACCACCTCTCCGCTTCTTCCAACCAGTCCCAGAGTCGGCAAATAATGCACGACGTGGAATTCTCTGGGACGACATTCGGAGAACATGTCCAAGCCACCGAAGTCAGTGTTTCAAGACGGTGACACCAATTGCATTATCATCTCTGTGCCCGAACACACGATGCCGAACCTCTGCATTACTGACATGGTGTTGCCACTGAATGTCAGCAATCCTTCGGAGACAGCGATGATCGAACACAGAGAGTCGTCTAACGTCCTCAACTCGGAGAGGCCAGGTTTCACAAGCATAGAGCAAAACTGCTCTCACTGACGCATTGTAGATCCGACCTTTTACAGCCAGACTAACATCACTAATACGCTAAAGATAGCCCAGATTGGCATAAGTCGCTCTGGCTTTCACTATACGTGCATTGATCTCATCACTTACACCACTACCAGCACTTATGCAGTTACCTAGATATACGAACTTCACGACTACTTCTATCTGTTCACCATCCAGACTGAGTACAGGATTAGAATCCTGCCAGTCTTGTAGAAGTACTTTGCACTTCGAAGGTGCAAAGTACATACCATACCTACGGAAATTGATTGCCAACTGATTAAGTGCAGATTGCATATATTTATTAAATGACAAGATCATATAGTTTAAGGTTCAGGATACACTAGTCTATTATGTAGATTGAAATGGATGGAGTATACAGTTCAGATGTGTATTTTAAAGTAGTCATCAAATAATTTATAAAGTCCTCATTCAGAAGAATAATGAACTACTTAATTCTAATAAATGAGGTGTGGTAAAGTCCGACTTGCACTTCCACGCAGTGCTCCTTGGATAGTGAGTGATCGTTTTGCCTATGAACTAATGCAAGCAGCAAAGAAAAGACCGGAATGAACATCCACTCTGCCGAAACTAGTAGAGATAGGACTAATCAGGCGATCTACCAAATCTGGCGATTGAGCTAATCACTCACTATAAATTCTCATTACCAAGAGGAGAGAGGTTAACTTTTTTTCAGTGCCTGAACAGAACCTGTCTGTAACCAGCACATAAGGGTCGATACTAAAAGTGCTTGCAGTGTGAGTGTGAAGTGTGTATATTGTCTATGACGACTTATCAAAAAAGTGATTTGAATACTTGATATTTATTTAACGGAAAAAGCCGCTGAGCTGCGGCCTGGAGTGATTGCATCTATATCTATGTGTCTCATGGAGTGCATAGGTTTCAACCTGTGTGGTCTGTGTGCATGTAATGTATACTTGCAAGCGAAAACGTCCACGCTTTTAGGTACTCGTGAGATGAGTGGACTTGTCCATGCATTACATGATTTCATGTAATACATACTAACAACCGCGCTCATCTATGCCTATGTGTATCACCGGGATGTACGTATCCATATAAAGCATAATTGGGAGAAATTTCCATATTATCCACGAGTGAAATCGCTAGTAGCTCATCAACTCTTTTGCCTTTGCATAAGATTTTCTGAAAGTACACATTTAAAAAAAAACGTGAAGTGAACTTACTTATATGGTTCTGATCCTATATCTAATGTATTCCAAAATTTTGTACGAAATTCAGTTAATATAACATCCTTTAATTTAGATTATAATAAACAATAATAAAATATACATTTAAACTTTGAAAAGAAAGAAGAGTTAAGGAATTAGAAATACATGTCAACAACAGAGAGTATAAGTAACCATGAGAGAACTAATGCTTTTCTTATAAGATTCAAGTTATCCAATGTTACAATGTGTTATATCCGAGCGAAGATTAAATCACGAGTAACTTCTGAGACATATTATCTATGCATTCTTATGGTATAACTATTCAATAATTAGATTATGTAAATCTATATTCCCCTTGTTATAAGCTTTATTTTGACTTATAATTTATTATTGTACGATTTACTGTTCTTAAGGTATGTTCAGTTTATTAACTACCGCCTCCCACGTTCACAGCCACTTTTTGGGCTTTATTGTGTACAAATGTTATTTCCTATTTCATGATGCATTGCGGTTTGTTTGATTGATATATAAACCCAGTATGTGTGAAACGAATTATTCTATTCGATTCGCATAGTGGAAGCTAGTATTAGTGTTCTGGACTCAAGTGTATGGGTTAGGCGGACATAGGACCAATAAGGACGCTAGGCTGCTTATACCGGTCGAACGTCATTAGTTTTGGCACAGTGTTAAGATTGGATAAGTTGTATTTTGATCGGTGGATCAAATCACGTGATGAAAAAGCCGGACATAAAGACACAACACAATGGGATTTTACAATTGAGTTATTCAAACCTCTCTTATTCACTTCATTGATCTTCCAATTGGTAACACTAAGGATTTTATATTGATTGATCATTGAATAATAAACAATTTCATGGTTTCTTTCTAGTTCTTAGTCTTGATCAAACTTTATTTCAATACATTACTATCTATCGATTGATTGTAATCAATTAATATCAAAACATAATGCACATGATGTCAAATAGCTACAATGCAATTTGATTGATAAAATTTGATTAGCACTAAAATAGAACTAGAGAAGCATTAGTAACTAATGATAGATCAGTGTTAAGATTAAATCTATTGTTTCTATTATGAAAATCTTTATACCAATTCGATCATATTTTTTGATGAAAATATGGTTAATTGAGTTGCCAACCGCCAAGATATTTATGGATACATTTCAAACCTTGAAAAAGTAAATTTAAACTAGCAAATGATTTAATGATAAAGTTGTTGAGGTGATCCGGCAAATTTCTTGCGGAAGACAAGTAAGGATCAGGAAACACTAAGAAGCGTTTCCTCCAATCAGAGTTCACTTGAAGTTTTAGCCAAAAATATCAAGGAAGTGAAACGTCACATGCAGAGGTCCTGATTGACTGATTGCTACACTGATACTATGTTTAGTAGCATTCCAGAATCTTTTAGCAGCCCAAGGACATTTAAAATATTATAAAAACCCTATATTTTCTGTATTAAAATGAACCTTGGAGTAAACTACTTCTCGCATACTTTGCGTCTTCTCTCTCGTGTTCAGGTCGCTGTATAGTTCTAGCTTGGGGGTTACAGAATAGCTTAGGAGACGAATATAGCGTCCAATCCGCGAGACTTATCAAAAGTGTCCCTGTAATATTAGACAAAGTTGATTTCAATTTCAGATGGAATCATGGTCTACAAATATACAATTCAACACAAAGGATTATGTAATTTAGCGTATCCATAATTTGACCTATCAGGAATCCAATCCAGGACCTTTAACCTTACGCACAAATATTTAACCACTAGTCTTGTGTGTGCACTGATGAAGAGTCCCATACTAGGATGAAACAGCTGTCCAGTACTTCCTAGTTTTTAGTATTTATCTAGCCTAGATCATTATGTGGTCTCAACAAAACATGAAATATTATTTTGCTGAACAAATTATTTGACTGATTTATTCATATCACTTAACTGGATAACCCTACATACATACACTTATCAGTGCTAGCCGAAAAAAAGGATATCCATAATCTGTACAAAATTAAAGACAATACTGATCGTTTGACATTTTAGTAACAATTGTAGCTTGGTATTTCAAACGGCTTAGTTAGAACTATTTGGTCAAACTAAGTGATCTGAATATTCATAATTAAAACGTTCCATTTTAACACCAATTAACTAAAACCGGTGGTTAAAAGGCTAGATGAATAGACTGCATATGGAAAAGATTATCAAATGTCAAGTAATGGGTAGGATTTAAGCAGACGTTCTGTGTACCTAAGCAATAGTACTCATCTATTTAGCACAGATTAGTCTGTTTCGTTTCACTGTATGCCTATTAAAAGATCTTTTGAAGACAGGATATGTGTAAGTTATTATCATTTGATCGCAGGTATCTTGGAAAGATCAGTTGTGTATATTAGAATAATCGACTGATCAATACTGAAAATATATGTACAGTGCTAGAAAGTAATGACAAATAGATTAGTAAAATGTCAAGTCTTCGCCAACGAATGTTAGTTAGTGCAGGAGTAAGTTGGATGGAAGATGGCAATGAGTCATTAACAGTTGTCCTAATTTTTGTAGGTTGTTGTCGAATAATTAGAGTCTACGTGATAATCACAATAAATGCTTAGCGAGTTTAGTTAGCAGGGACCCATAAACTGTTTACATTTCCCTTACATTTTGAGTTTCAATATTATTTGACAATCTTTTTACTTCATGGTCGATAGCATTCGATCTGCACTAATAAGGACTTGACACGCGTGACATTGGTCACTATCTAGTGATCAATCAATTGTGATTACATCTTATTCCTACAGGAGGTTGGTCGCGGCCCGGATAGCTCAGTGGTAACGTCTCTAACTGCGAAGCTGGGTGACACGGGATCGAATCCGTCAGGGAGTACCAGTTCCCTCAAGATTATAGGTACACCTTGCTGACGAGTACCAAGTAGCACAAAACCTGGGTCCAGGGTTTCGTGTTGACTGCCTCCAACCACCATCTAATCTCACAATAGTGCATGCAGAGTCGAGCCACCTAGACTGGTGGCTACATTGCATCATTGTCAATAGCATTCGATCTGCACTAATAAGGACTTGACACACATGACATTGGTCACCATCCAGTGATCAATCAATTGTGACTTCATGAATTTATTTTGTCTTTCTGAAATATATTCTTCATGTTTAGTCTTTTTGCCATCATGAATACTACTGTAGTGAATGAAAACGCAATTGGGACAATCGAATGTATTTCAGCAAAAAATTACAGAATCTCTTAGTCAAATCTGAGAAGTATACAGTACATTTTTCATTTGCAAAATGGCAATCAATTATCACTTCCGATTGATGAAACATACTACTTATATCTGTCGACACTAGTAGTACACACTAAGAATGCCCAGGTACGCCCGAGAGTGGGGAGAGTCCGCTCTCCCTATCCAAATGCTCCCACATGGCCACACGTATATAGCCCCTGACAAGGACGTCCTACTCACTGCCTTCTCGTGGCGGGGGTGTCGTTTACGAATATGAGAGGACGAGAAGCGAATGTCCGGCGCTCTAACCGGATCTCAAACCAATGGTACACATGGGCTCCAGTATCCTGAAGGAACAAATGGCGTATGAAACAATCGTTGGTCACGGGCTACCATGGGAATGCATCTCCTTACGATGCTCCACTGCCTTGTGGATCAGACCTTCATGTCGAAGGCTCCGGGTGTGGCCCCCTAAGAAAACCACCTGCCTCGGTCTGGGCACCCGGGGAGTATCACAGCTTTCACACATATCAAATGAGATCTGTGTGACGTATATGTATTTGGTGCCTACCCTACTACTATTACTTTGAAACCTTTGTTATTTCATACTGTTACATAGATGTTTATTTGTATCATGTTCTGCAAACACTGATTCTGACCATAATTGTTTTGTAGAAGGATTTCACCATGAAATGTTTGTGAATTAACGAGCCAATTAAATGGGATAGTATTTAGGTTAGATAGGATGAAAGATAATAAACAATTTTCCTTATCTTACTTGCTTGACAAGATTTTCCACATAATGATACATTTGTAGATGAACATAAAACAATTCATTAAAAATAATCCAATAACTCACATTTGATTTAAATGATTGTTTCATAGGTACTTCATTATCATAACGAAATGGATCAGTACTTGAATTCAATAAAGTATGTGTGACCTAGAATAAAAATAATATCAGGTATGTATGTAATGAACAAAGACTTGAATAGGGTAAATCAATTTATTGTATGATCATGCAAAATGACACATTGTAAATGTAAAATATGAAAACAACACATGAAATACATTATTTGCCCATCTTCCTTGAGTTTTCTCTTACAAACTCCATCGTTTTTTTTTTCATTCAGCCGGTTTAATCCAGAATGCTAATATCAGCCCTTCGCGATACGAATCATATATGTCAGACATATTGGGCTTTTATAAAAACAAATCAAACCATATCACGCCATGAAAGAGAAAATAATATTTGTACAAGATCAAGCCAAAAGTGGATGTGATTATAGGATACTGTGACTAATAGATTGAGAATGACTTGAGAATAATAAATCATATAACAGTAACTCATAGGTCAAATAAAAGCTTATAATGAAAGGAACATAAACATACATATAATATAGTTTATTTATTTATTTAAACACATAAACACCGGTACAAGGAGGCACCAAATAGATATGCACCACATAAATCATTCGATTTCTGTGAGGGCTGAGATACTGTCCGGGTGCCCAAATGGAAGCAGGTGGTTTTCTTAGAGGGTGACATCCGGAATCTTCAACCTAAAGGTCTGATCCACGAGGCGGTGGAGCAACGTTAGGAGATGCGATCCCATGGTAGCCGGTGACCAATAATTGGTTCATACATCATTTGTTCCTTCAGGATCCTGGAGCCCATGTGCACCATTGGTTTGAAATCAGGGTTTTCCAACTCTCCTAGAAGAATCCTCCATATCCACTTGCTAGTTTTGAAGCTATTACGAGTTCACTTGGTAGGCGAACGGAACAAAGACTTGTGACCGTAGACCAATAAGCTAGCTACTTGATGCGTCCCAGCCCCGCTAACCAGAGGAAGAAGTCCAAGCTTGGAAGCCAGAAGCATGAGTGAATAATAACAGACACAAATCAAACGTATATATACAGCATAAAACTGTCCCTGGGAAGCGTAGCAAAAATAGCATACTAAAAATACACAACGGACCAATAGCGTTAAAGATTCTCCCAAGTGGGAATACAACATGAAGGTGAAAAGTGCGTTTTTGGCGCGAAAACGAGGAAATTTAAATTTCCAAAATAAAACTATAGAATTAAGGCATTTACCGAGTAAGTTCTGGGGATCTAACATCCTCAACACCACCAACCTGTTTAAAGCGCCGGATATTCGCTTTTCGTCTTCTCAATTTCGTAAACAACACCGCCGCGAGAAGGCAGTGAATAGGACATCCTGGCAGTGGTTGTATGCACGTGGCCATGCGAGGGCATTTCAGGAGAGAGTGGACTCTCCCCACTCTCGGCCGTACCAGGGCGTTTGGGGTCTAGTTACTTAATGGTCATACAATAAGAATATTCGCATGATATTAGTACATAAATAATCACTAGCGGTTACTAGTCATTTATTCACATCCGGATATAATAATAATAATAATAATAATAATAATAATAATAATAATAATACACTCACTTTAACATGACCAAGTGAATCTTTAGATTCACTTTCTAGCGATTTTTGAAGTGCTTCCTTAATCAAACATTTTCCTTTATACCTAGTAAACATTTACCCAATAATATAAACAACAAAGTAAATTATAAGTAAATAAAGCGAATGAAGTGAACAAAAGAGGAGGAGAAATCTTGAATAAATCTTGAATTCTAGACAAAAATGGAACAACATATATAAACCATAGGTAGACCAGTGTTCGGACGCCAACTATTAAACTCAGTTTGAAATCATACACTTGTTTTTAATTCAATGGTTTAATAAACTATCCCAAGCGTTGAAATCCAAGAAAATGGATGGGGTTCCTATTTGCGGATCCAGTAATTTTAATCGTTCACTTATATTAACGGATAATAATTAAATCGATGAATGTTAGCTGATTGAAAGAAGATGAAATTAATCTCCACAAATCGTTTATCTTAATCAATTTTTCTAGTTATATTTTAATCTTCAGACGGTGAAGAAGATTAGTAGCTCAAGAGAATGTTTTCAGTGAAATTGTATCTGTTGAATAGTTAAATTGTTCTCATTGACATCTTAGACAATATCGTCAGTAGCATAAACTTTAGAGGTAAAAATCCCTGACATTATCTATTCGTGTTGCAAGTTAGCGAATTGACATGAAATACGTATACGAATACCTTAGACACTAAGTACCATTAACCAAGAACACTGAATATATATATATATATATATATATATATATATCTTTACAATTGAGTTTGTTCATATATTTCAATTTAAGTTAGCCAATAAAAGGTTTCTACTCACTGCTGGTTTTCTCGCTAATGTTGCAAGTTGATCGTGTATATAGGAAGCGGATAGATCAATATCTAAACTCGAACAACTGCCTAACACAATACATATATGAGTATTTCTTTCTATCATAAAATTTATTAAATATGAAGCAACTCCATAGAGCTAAGAGTCCGTTAATGTACATGGCTCTTACTAAGTGTTTAAACTTAAACAGGTGAAGTTGATCTGAAAAGGCAACCAAGATATATGTAAAATCTTAGTTACATTGATCGAGATAAATGAGTATTAGCAAGTTACTTTAACACAGTTACCATGCATAAAAAGTACAACAACTAAGTGGTAGGAAAAAAATCAACTTACCAATGACCGAAATTTAAATGCATTGCAGCACCAGTCACTGCCATATGAGCACAAGTATTACTAGAATTGATAGGTGGAGTTAACACTGATGATGTGATTGTTCCTTGTCCTGCTGTTGTCGTTGTAGTTGTCGATACTGTGCCAGTTCCAGAAAATGTTGACGTTGTTAATGATATTTCTGGATTTTGTACCGATGCCATACATGTTTCAAAGTATGCATGTAATTCGTTCTCAGCCATCGTAAGATTTCGTTTATGCAAAGCATATACATGTGAGGCATAATGCTGTTTTAAAAAAGAAAGATAGAAACAATGAAGATGAAGAACTTTACAAAATGTGATGAAAATACTTGGTGACAATTGGTACAATCAACTGTAGTACTTGGGTCCGATGATTCTCAGAAAGAGGTCTTTAGTTAATCTAACATTCTTGATATAAAGGCTGATTATACTTTAAGTACAGATATACACGGAACTTAAAGCTTCTTTATTCATGTGAAAAATTTGGTATGGATGTTCAAGGAAATGAGAAGTACAGTAACAATTGTTGATTGACTAACTTCGATGTATCTCTTCAATCATGGGATTTTGTGGTTACACTATCAATCGATTCCCTTTCACAAAACTTGACTATCTCCTATGTTAATTTTTTCTCAAAAGTTATGGATTCTAACACAATCAAAGGACTTTCATCGTTTTGATTATCTCAGTTATCATGAGACATCTACAATGTAATTATTGTTAAAGTGTTTACTTGCTTTTCCACTCAAAAACCTGTTTACATTTCTCGGTAGATATGCATTGTTTCAAACAAATGACTACTCTTTATACTATTTTACCTCATAGATCAGATCCTCAGAGTAGCGCTTCTGGACATTCTTCATGCTTTTAATGATGTTTTTTCAATGTAAACTAACAGTTATTGCACCAAATTGAGTCAAACGACATCTTAATAAACTTGAAGGTATCTTTTGCACTCAACCCTGTGATCGGTATCTCAGAGCTAGTAAGCTCATTTGAACTTTTCAGTATCGTGCCTCCATGATTATTAGATGAAATTAAATTTATGAACGAAAGAAAACACTTTTCGACTGTGGGAAAAACCACCTTTACAAATTTTCTATCTTCTATCCATGATTATATCCCCAAATACCTTGGTATGCCCAAGGGTGAGAAGAATCCGCTCTTCCTCACAAAATGCTCTCACATGGTCATGCGTATACAGCCAGTGCCAGGGAATTCCTACTCACTGTCTTCTTGTGACGGAGGTGTTGTTTACGAGATTGAGAGGACGAAAAGCGAATGTTTGCCGCTTTAAATGGGTTGGTTGATACAGAGGATTCACCTACAGGAGTTGGAAAACCATGATTCCAAACCAATGGTGCACATTTGTTCCCATATCCTGAAGGAACAAAAGGGTGTATGAATCTATTATTGGTCACCGGTTACCATGGGACTACATTTCCTAAGCTTGCTGAAATTCAAAAAATAACACTTACCGTATATGATACTTCAGGATACATTTTTTTAGCTAACAATAAAAGTTCATTGTATTTTTGTAGATTAAGATTAGGACGTCCACCAATTTTTCCAATAGAATCAATAATTTCTGAACAAACATCTAAAGCTTGATTACGACTGAAAAATATGAATGAATGTTTGTTTGGTTGAGAAAAACAAACAAAAGAAATACTCGTTAGGAATAAATCAACGTTTGAAGTTGAATAAAAGTTTTTCAACTAAAAAAAGAGGTTGTTGAGAGCTGTTTTTTTAATTTCATGGTTAACATCACTGATCGATCTTAGTTAAACGACTATTAAAAAGCAAGAAACATTTCGTTTTAGTATAGGACTCTTTAGCAGTGTGTATCCATGACCCCACCAGCGGAGATCGAGCCCAAGAACTCTGATCTTGAGTGTGAACGCTCAAGCTCCAGATCACTGATACGTGTTTAACTTCAATAGATTCGTAATATCACACAATCACTTTCAAATGTATGTAGTGTGTAACTGCCTGACAGTCTACATAGTTGAACTCCACCGGTCACGATTTCTCTCTAATGTTAACTATGAAAAGTTCTTTTACAATGTAGATGAAAGTGATTGACGGAAAACCTATTGAAAGGCTAAATCCAGACAAAAATCAGTCCATGAAATCACTGACTGTTAAACTGAACAATGGCGTGAGATTTAGACTATCTCCATGACGTTCGTGTGATAACTGGGTGCTGGGTGACGTGACTCAGAATTGAATACAATGGTGCAGATGCATTCACACATTACATCTCACCTAGATCTTTAGTTTCAGTGCTCCATCATACATGCCGTCTCTTCAGCTATTCTTCTTGAAACATAGTTTTCAATGTCTAGTCTTTCTCATTATAACTGCTGCTAGAATTGTACCGACTTCATTATTTTTATTTGTAAGTGGTAGTCATTTATCTGAATTTATTTATCACTAATATCCAAAGGAACAGTTATTTACTTCGATAACTTGTAACTCATTCTGATTCGCTTACTGCGAAGCTCTTTTCTCCACCTCTTTCTTTCTCTCCCTAGTTAGTTCACTACAATCAATCTAGTATATTTGAACTAGGTTGATTACAATTTCTATACCATTTTATTTTTGATTGAACCGATAAATGTTAGACCACCGTTGAAAACCTGAAAGAACTGAACGGTCGTTTCGTCCTATTGTGGGACTCCTCAGAAGTGCGTATCCACGATCCTGCTAGCGGAATCCGAACCCAGGGCCTTCGGTCTCGCGCGCGAATGCTTAACCTTTAGACCACTGAGCCGGCATCCAACGGTGTTAATGTCTAACCATTTTGAGTGCTGTTAGAGGTATGAGGGCGGTTATCCGTTTCCGGTCGCTCACACCGTGAAAGGGTTCTTCTGGAGGTACCTGGGAAGGAAATTAGATTGGAGATGGTCTTAGTGACCTGAGAGCGTGACCGCAGTGCCCAAGAGACAACTATTTGAGGTTGGTCACACGCGACCTTTTTGTGAGTAGTTTTCGTGTTAGCTCCGTACTTGTTGAGACCTTGTCATTGAAGATGGATATCCCTGGGATAAGGCGAGGTGTGCATTTTTAGGTTCGACCATTTCTAACCCCACCACTCTTCGTGGGAAAGGAGCATCGCTGTCATGCTGGTTATCTGAAGGAAACATTTATTTATTTTAACACATAGATATTGGCACAAGGATGCACCAAATACATATGCGCTACACAGATCTCATTTGAAGGAAACACCTTACTGCTGTCACACCTCTGTACAGTCAGCAGTACGACTTCACCTTCGAACCTTGGGTTTGTTGCTTTTAGTCTTACCGCTCTTTGACCGACCTGTGTGGCATGGTAGGACCTTGAGGAACGGTTGTTCCAGCCAGTATAGCTCGGTTGCTTCATCACGATAGGCAAACCCGACCACCACGTCAAGGTAGTAACAACGGTCGCGCTAACCATTCTAATTATGTCACTTCCAATCTAAAACTAATCCTAATAAAATCATATTAAGCAAAGATGGGTAGTGGCCAGCAGTGGAATCCAAGACGCAAGTTTCGTCCTATTTAAGACTCATCAGTTGGATGCTTGTGAATTAAGGTAATATCGAGGCAGTACGCACAGTATGCACAGGTATCAATAAGAGACTGATCAATTGCAGTCTTAAACTTCAATGGAAAGATTCAAGTAAACAATACCAAGTGAAAATTATAGTATGTATATAAAATGGATAACGATAATAATAATAACATAACTTACGTTGATATTAAATATTGATCTCTAGTGAATGAATGAGCAAACTTTTGTACAATTAAATCTTCAGTATCAAGATTTGATATAGAACACATTTCATTATCATAGGCATCAAAGAATGAATCAAGGAATTGTATTATTTTTTCAAAACTTTGAGAATAAATTCCAAGTGAAAATTTTCTTATAAATAAACCTACAGAAAAAAGATTAGGTGGTTTTTATTTTTAATGATATTTATACGAACACTAATTCTTTCTTCTTGTACTAGGTCCTTATATGCAATTTTTCTTTTATAGATTACCACCCATTGAATGAACTACTACTTCTATGAATTCGGTGTTCATCTTCTTATGCTAATGAAGTATGGCAACTTGGACCGATGAATATATATGCTTGATCTTACGTTGTAACTAACTGAATGGTATAAAGGAGCACCGAATACACATTTGCCATACAAGTTACTTGATTTGTGTGTAGGCTGTGATACTGCCCAAGTGCCTAGACAGATATCGTTAAAATGAAATAGTAGCCTAGTGAATTTAAACCAATTCAATACAAATACAGGGAGAATCGTCATTAATAATCCTTGTTACCTTGTTTTGTTATTTAGATAGAAAATGAAAAAATGTAACTACTCCTATTGGTTTTGATCTGAAACTATATTTTCCCACAAGCTACCGATGTCAAAATTCATCGATTGGTTTACATGGAGTAATTATACAATTTAGGTGTCTAGATTGGAGATAAAATAGGTTTCAACTTATGGTTCAACAAAACTACAAAACACTAGGAATATCTATTTTGTTACGATGCCGCAACTAGTCTGAGTATTGATAATCCGTAAAATGAGTAGAAAATAGTTACAATATGGTATGAAGCTTTTGAGTGAGGGATACGTGTATTAAACTAGCATGTGTTGAATTATCACAACTTCTTAAAATGGCTCCAACAGACGGTACAAACCACTGACTTAAGACTGTCGTGAACGACTCAAAATCAAAACTAGTAGCAATACCACTGTAGCTTTTTAAATCCAAAATAGACAGTAAGATATCCTTTTGGAAGAATAAAGACCAACTCAGTTCTGCTGTCATCTGGAATGTGTTACCCGTATCCTCTCTTGTTATTCATTTCACAAAACTATCATCTTTTGTATGGTAAATTCTTTGAGTCACTCAGTCACAACGCAGTACCTGGTGCGTTCAATTTTCTACACCCCATTAGAACAGAGATGAGACTGACAGGCCAAGTCCCAGAATAGCAGAGGTAGTAACGGTATCACTGGTAACGAAAAAGATTAGGCATCGAAGATACGACTAAAAAACATAAATTAGTGAAATTAAAGTTGTGAGGAATTCAGTATTGGGATTTAGGGAAAACAAAGGGTGGATGCACCTCTGCCATTACAAACGATTTCTAGCCATGTCAATTAAAGTCTCTAAGCAATGGTTACGATAAACACGCGGACCCCAACTAAGTAGTATGTACTTATTAACATAGCTAACTCCAACTGTCAGTGACTTCATAGACTAATGCCATGTTTTGGTTTGACCACCCCTAGCTTTCTTCCAATCTACTCCTATACCAGAAAACATCGCCCATCAAGGTAGGCGGTGGTTGTGAAAATGTAACACATGTCTCGACCACCTCAGTTCATAGAGATTTGTTCTGTTCCTAACCTAGGCATTGCTTACTCCGTGGTTCAAAGATACACGACCAATGCTTTAAAGAAACCTATAATCCAATACCAGTAACCTACGAATATCTTCTATTCTCAATGACCATGCTTGGTAGAGTGGAGAGGATTGCTGAGCAGTACACACCGTTTGGTTGACAGACGGATATCTCGCCTGCTCCACAAGTGACGCGGGTTGGCAAAAGCCAATACAGCCTTCTGAATCCGTGCCGAGATTCTGTCAGACACCAAACCATTAGGACTAATGAGACACAAGATAGGTGAAGTGGTCGATGCGTTCAATTACTTCATTTTCTCTCACTAATTCAGGCAATGACACAAACCAATCTTGAAGTAAAATTTTACATCTGGGGAAAGAGAAACGGATGCTTGCATTGTTGGTCAGAAGACTGTATTTTGTCAGCGTCTTTACCAAACACAGCTATATCATCTGCGTGTTCTAAGTCAACAAATGAACCTCCAGGAAGATCAATCCCTGAAAAGTTAGACAATGAAAGTGTTGTCTCCAAAAGCATGTTTATGACAAAGTTAAATAAAAATGGGAAAAGCGGACAACCCTGAAGAACGCCAATTCAAGTAACCAATTCCTATGAAAGTTCCCCATACATTATGACTCAACTAATAATGTTCAAGTAGAGAAAATGTACAAGGTTAACGTACATTTTATACGCTTTCCAATGACAGACAGTTCCACAGAACCTCACGTTCAACTGAGTCGGGAGGCTTTAAAGTCAAAGGATAAAACTATAATCGGACGTCGAAATTCTAACCGTAACTGCTACCTCGACGGAAAGGAGGGGTTAAAAAAGGTCAACCATAAATATGCCACACCTCACATCACCCTAAAGATTATCGTCTCCCGCGCCTAGGTCTTTTGAAGTGCGGAGCTAACATACCAAAAGCTTTCCATAATAAAGCCTTGTGTGAACGGCCTCAAGCAATGCTCCCATGGGCTTTGCGATCACACTCCCAGATTGCTAAGACTACAACTACTTCAGCTTCTTTTTCAAGTTACTCAAGAAAAAATATCCTTTTACAGTATGGAGAACCAGTATGTGACCATTTCTGTTGTGAAAAGGCAGAATCGCTGCAGATGCTGGTTTTTCACGAGAAACACTTTACTGTTGTCATGCCCTATTACAGTTTTCAGTACGACTATGCCCTCAGACCTTATATTGCTGCTTTCAGCCTTACCGTTCTCCAAACAACCTAGTAGGATCTAAAGGAACATATGTTCCAACCAATGTGGCTCCGTCGAGTGATAACGATAGGCGAATTCGACCACCACGTCGAGGTAGCAGCTACGGTCAGAATGGTTTGTCGTGTCCGTAATTGTCGCTTTATAGATAAAACAAACAACAAAATTAGTTTTTCTTGATTAATACCATAACTTTCATGCAAATGATTATATGCAAGCTCTACTTACTGCCTTCGCGTGGCGGGGGTGCTGTTTACGAAATTGAGAGGATGAAAAACGAATTTCCGGAGCTTTAACCGTGTTGGTGAACATGGAGAGTTCATCTAGGGGAGCTGGAAAACCCTCATTCCAAACCAACGGTGAACATAAGCTCCAGTATCCTGAAGGAACAAATGGCGTATGAAACAATCGTTGGTCACGGGCTACCATGGGAATGCATCTTCTTACGATGCTCCACTGCCTTGTAGATCAGACCTTCATGTCGAAGGCTCCGGGTGTGGCCCCCTAAGAAAACCACCTGTTTCGGTTTGGACACCCGGGCAGTATCACAGCCCTCACACATATCGAATGAGATTTGTATGGCGCATATGTATTTGGTGCCTCCTTATACCAATATCTATGTGTTAAAATAATAATAAAGCTCTAATACGAATCAATCACTACTTAATATTTAACATTTAACAAATTTTAAAACGATTTATCGTAAAATATCACTTAGCTTACCGAAAACGCTGTCTTTAGTCAAAAGAAATCTTCTTCTATTACTATTTTGACTAACATCACCTCCGCCATCACCACTATCTTCATCGTCATCGTCATCAATTTCATTGCCAACATTCAATGATTTTGCAAAGATTAAATTTTTAAATGTTGACAAATTTGTGTACGCAACAGCCTCGTAGTAATTGCGTAGTCTTTCAATTCTAGTCAATTATACAGTTTTTTAATCATAAAAATATGATTATATATATTTACCGGCCTCGAATCAATGGTTTTAAATACGCAGGAATACGTGCACTTTGCGAATTGCATTTCAATATGTCAAATGGATTACCAATATTTTCCTCAAAAGAAGCCTATTAAAATAACAATCAACTAACCTTCAACATTTCATACATTAGCATATACAAATTGATTGTATCTTTTGAATTACTATACTGTATTTGGTCCTCAGAGTTATCTGACATCATTAATGAACAGATATATTCACGTAAGATGATGAATAACATAAAGCTGTTGTGTGTAACACTATCAATGAAATAGCTTTCACCACCAATTTTCTGGTAGAATATCATTTTATCAAAATGTAAATTGGCTATGTTATCTGAGGAATTAACAGAACTTCATGTTAATTATTTAAAACATGTGACAAACAAAGTGCCCTATAAAGGATAGGATATGAAGAAAAAAATAAAGCTATAGGCAAAGACAATCAGTGAATAACTGTTCATAATTACTTTGTTAAACAACTGTGAAACTAGGTTATTAATTTAAGTGTACTCAATGAGACTGAGAAAGGCTTGACCAACTAAATACAGAATTCAGCGGACAACATTGGTATACAATCCACTAACTCTTAGACAGAACATTTGAACGATCTGACAAATTAAACTTTTTGACGTTTAGTGAATATTCGTACTGAGATTAGCCTTCAGAAAATAGGGTCTTTTTCATGCATACAGTGAATTTAATGTGAAGTTGGGAATTATAATTTCTCAGGCAAAGGCTGAATGCTACTTGTCATACGTAAATATCACATCAACCTGTTTGAGCGCAAACTTATAACAAAAATTGCAAGCTTTATTTATTGTAAAGATGTATTGTAGTAAAGTATTCCTACAGAAATACTGAAACTATCTTCAGTTTATCGTACATAAAATATTCCTTGGCTATTTGGATATACTAACAATCATATCTACAGAGATGAATGCCTTGATAAAGAAGTATATGCATGATGTACATAAGATGTTATGTAAGGAGACAAATCTTTCCTTTAAAACAAACGTGACTATGGAGGTGGTCCATGAGACGTAAAATAAATCCTCCTACCAACTCGAAGTACAATCCTACTAGGTTTAGGTGGATCTTAACAGTAGGTTGGCAGTTAACTGCCAAGCGAACTCCCTCTATTCAATGTAAAAACTGACTTACATGTGGCGGATATATAACGCAAAATAGAAAACGAACGAAATACCAAAGACTCAACACCACATGCTGTAAAATAACTTTAAATGGCATCATAAGAACTTTAATATACAACTCCGCAAAACTCACGCAACCTATTTAACCTTGTCACCAGAACACGCCGTATTTATGAGAAAACTGGCGTTTTAGGGGAGCCGCTCAAAAAATCTTGAGGAAATAGCACAAAACCCCCCAAAATTTCCTCAGAATCGAGATATTGGAATTACGACGAGACTATAATTTAAGTACTGACCAATCACGTGTAACATAACAGGTCTTGCATTTTGGCGCGAAATTCACAAATTCCTACGGATAAATAGGGTTTTGGCATTATAGCTGGTGTCAGTTCGTGATGAAAACCATAAATCTAGTTTCTAACCTTAATCATCAACTGTAAATCTTAATTTTAATTCTTCACACAAGTTTGTAAACATCATTAAAGCGGATCAAATTTGGTCCTGCTTATTGGGTGAACACTCTCAAGGTCAGTCAGGCACCGTCTGTCCAGCTGCTGAAAAACCAGAAAACAGCCTCCGTGAATAGACAGTTTAGAGTTAAGATTTAGGTGGTGCTAGTAGTCATTTAAGACGTTTTCAACTCTACGGACAGGTTTTCCCAAAGCTCCGTATATACGCAACTTTTGAAATTCGCACTGAACCTTAAGCGTTGTATCCTGAGTTATGGTTTGCTTGCACCTTACTATGTACTCACTACGAAAACCAGGTAACAGTAACGCACAAAACAAATAGCCCTCATTTAATAATTGCTATTCAACGTCGGACACCCATATGTTTGCTTACCGTGCTTTCGTGTCTGGTGACAACAAATCACAAATCATTTCAGATGGGGATCTAGGGATATTTAGTAATGAGAAAAATATATTGACAAATTATAGTGAAATATATGTCAAGTTTTCTCTTAAAGGACTCCTGGGAAGTAAATTGGTCTACCTCAGATGACAGTGAATTCCAGAAGTTGATTAATCGTAAGGAGTAGGACGTGCATCAACAGCCCATCCTGCCAAATTGTGTCCCTAATTTCTGGGTGTTATTCTTAAGATTTGTTTTGAGATGGACCTTAACAAGGGTTTAATTGGCCGCTCAGAAGCATTTAGAATACTATAAGTCATTAGAAAGTCACATCTGAGTTGCCTATGCTGAAATGGGTAACGATTCAATGGTTTGAGATGCTCTCCTTTCAGATGAAATAAGGTCCCCAAACTGTTTTCGCAGATCGCCGTCGGATAGATTCCAGTGTAGTTCTATTGCAGCGGTAAATGAATCACCAAAATAAATAGCTCTGTAAGTTTTCGAAATTGGATGCTGACCACATGTTTTAATGGACTCTTTTAGCTGAGAGCACTCGTCCATGCATCTGCACCAGATCACGAGTGGGAACGCCGTGTTCAAAAATCCCTGAAATCGTTAGCCAGATTAGATCAGACGATTCTCGATATATTGATATCATATCAAATATATCTTCGAACTTCCTCGCTTCTGTCTTTTGATTTCACTTGGTGGGTACGCTTTATAAAGGTGTTACTGGTTAAAGCGTTGTCAAACTCTGAATACATGTGGCACCTTGACTATCCTCTCGGATTGGAAAAGGAAACACTATATTTCTATACTCTATTACGTAAAGTTGGTTTGTAAATCGGCTGAGACTATGCATCGTAGGGTACCAGCACTCATATATTCTCTTTAAGTTAAAATATCTCTAGATAGGAGTTACCCAAGTGGTATGCCCAGTCTGCACCATCTCTCAGATGAACTGTTTTACACTTTAAAGTATGAAAATTAAGTCCGTTGTTATCTGCCAACTCTGAAATCGGGTTGGATCATCCTGTGATGATATCTTATATTCTTGATTGCAAACTTCTCCCCAGGGTTTCACATCACCGGAGAAAAGTAAAAAAACGGACGACGCTTGTTGAAGAACGTCATTTATGTCATCCAATAAAATGCCCTAGTGCTGAACCCTGAGCAACCCCATTATGACATTGTGTGGCCTGATGACTGTTCAGGACTATTGATGGGACGTATATGACTGACCGTATCAATAGAAATTGAGAAGCAAAGATAATGACATGAAAACCCCGCATTACGGTCAGTAGTGTTCATCTATCTGTCCACTGAGGTGTGCAGGATGGCTGTACAATCGTGACCCTTCTTTAAACCGTACTATTTACGTAATAAGAAGTTTATGGATAACATATAGTCACACATACCATCATATATCAATGACTTCACAACTTCTGAGGGTATCGAAAGAAATATTGGTATATATATGCTCTACTAAAAATAAGTATTATTATTCCAGATCGGTCTACAATGTTCCACCGGATTTTCTGAACTAAGACTGTTGATAATGATCCGGGTATTTTTGTTATGTCTCAGTAAACCTCGAATCACACTTTTTCTCTACAAGTTACCCTTTTGCAATTTTCCTACAACTATACGGGTTTTGAACGCCTGAGCTACTTGTTTATATAACCTCCAAATGTGACTCGCGTATCACCACGTCAACAGCTCCTACGGTAGGTGTGTTTTTAAAATATCGGATGACACTGTCCTCCTACGATTTAGTCTATAGGTTTTATCGAGCAAGGACATAAATATTTTATTTTTGCTACTATATATTCCGGTGTCAGCCATGCTTTTGAGGCAGCAACTACATCAGATTTTTTACCGCGCCTACAATGGCTTGTGAATTACTTTCCTGTACCACCAAGAGCGGCATGGGGATCTAATATCTCTGAACCCTGTCAATGTAAAAATTCTGTACTTTGAAGATTTTCCCACAACTCAATCGGGTTTATTTATCTCTGTCTGTGCCGACCATTTTATACTTCAGGTCCAGGCATTTTATGACAATTTCGCCCGCTAAATGGACTGAAATCAATATTTAAAATGAGACTTGCCCGAAATCTATTCTGATTCGCTTTCTATCCTGTTTTACACAGTTTGTTTGTACTAACTCCAGCCACTGTACCCACAGATAGCTTGCCTATTAGTGACTAAGTGTAGCTTAGGTCATGTTGAATTCTAGCTTCCATGTCCTTTCGCCGGATCAATATACTGATCGTCTGTTGTGTTTTAGGGGTCTATCGCAATGGTTTCACTCAGATACAAGACATTACTCGTAATGGAGCCCACATACGCCCACAACTACGGAACCCTATCTCCAGCCTGGACCACTTGATGCACTTATCGATTCACATAATGTTGTTCCGTTTTTGAATTCTATATATCATTGCTTTATTTTAATTTTTTATGCATTGTGATATTTTTTCTCCGCGTTTTTGGATTTCTATATATTTTTCACTTGTGTATTCTCGTAATTAATTTTACCCTATGACTGAACAGACCTCCGAGGTATGTAAGATTAATACTATGTCACCGCCGTCGTTCCAACTCATGCTCTTCTGGCCCGACAATATCGAAGCCGGGTTCTGCTACTCATAAGCCGACTTCCACGAGCACGGCGTGAACGACACACGTGCACAATTCCTCGCAATAGTCAAGGCACTACCGCGGGAATTCAACAGGTACGTGACACCTAGTACGTTTACTAGTGATGTTTTGGATTCCTCTGAAACACCTAAATGATCTACTCTAAAACGCGGAGATCCAACCGATCGACAAAGGTCAGGCCAACTCCTCAATAACAACGACCTGCAACAAGGTTCTGTGACGGACATGTTGCAACGAGTGAGAGAGGCTATCGGTCAAAGAACTTTCGATGATGGCCTATTCAAACAACTTTTCTTGTCCAAACTTCCTCAACAGGTGTAAGCTGTGCTTGTCTCGTTCCACAACAATGCCTTAAACGAGTTGGCTGCATCTGCTGAATACATTTTAGTAATCAAAAAATCTTCTAATACCGAGGTTTTTTCAGTCAAAGAAAAGCCTCAAACGTCCCAGAATGACATAACCGAGTTATGTCATACACGTACGCGTTATCTTAATTTTCGTAACGACCGTAAGCGATCTGTCTCTGGACCACGAGAGACGGATAATCCCGACTGGCGCTGGTATCATAACCAGTATGGAAAGTCTGTAACAGCTCAGGTTGGTTGGTTAAGAGTTGACCCCAAACAACCAAGCTTATGCCAAAACAGTATTGTTCAAGTATTCATTCACTTCCTTATTTTTTATAAGCGTTATATTCCCTATTATCTTGAATGTTGAGAGCCTTTGTTTGTCTGAACAGATAATCCCACGCTCCACTGTGACTGCGCGAAGATCGAAATATAGACCTATTCACTTTTTTTTTTTTTTTTTTTTTTTTTTTTTTTTTTTTTTTTTAAGGCACGAAACTGGTGAGCCCTTTTTGAACACAAATTTAACCTCATTTCTGTTATTAACATTTTTTTTACTTAATCGTAAAAGTAGACCTGATTATCCGTAAACTAATTTGAGTATATAACTAGTTCATTCCGTATTATCTTAAGTTATTCGTGTTATAGTAACCACTTTTTGTGCTAACTTTATTACTATATTTGTCGCATACCTCATGTCAGACTCAATAGAAACCCATAATCTGGAGGATTTGTCACCAGTGGAGATAGACACTGTTATGACTACGAAATCCCGACTTCCAGAATTTGATCGTAGTGATCCTGAGTTGTGGTTTGCTCAACTAGAGCATTATTTCACGAGACACAATATCAAATCTGAAGGGATTCGCTATAGAGACTTGTGTTCTATCCTTCCTCCTTCAGTCGCCAAAGAAGTCCGTGACTTGATTTTAGATCCACCATCACCACAACCATACACCATCTTAAGACGAGAGATAATGAACCGTTTATCATTATCAGATTGTCAAAGAATCCAAAGACTTTTTCAAGGTGAAACACTAGGTGATCGGTCGCCGTCACAGTTTTTACGTCACCTCCAAGTCTTAGTGGGTGATAACACAGTGGGTGAAGCAGTCCTAAAACAAGGATGGATACAAGCTCTCCCATGCTACGTCCAACACTATTTGGATGCACAAGATCCTGAAACCTCATTATCTCATTTAGCGCGTATAGCCGATAGAATAATGGAAAGAGGTCCTCCAACTGGATCTAGCACAATAAATCACACACAAAAAGTTGAATCAGCAAAAGACCCCGTCATAGAAGGACTCATTGCGAGTGTTAAGAGTCTCACTGAGGCTGTCACCAGAATGCAAATGGGTCATAGAAACAGGAGCAGGTCACCACAACGACCACGATCCAAGTCACAAAACAGGTCACAAATGTCCAGACAATCTGGGCAGTTTTGTTGGTACCACTG